TCATGGACTTTTGGTAAATTGGAAATCCAATGATTCTTCCTGTATTTACAGCTTCTGGTTCTGAAAAATGGCACCATTCTGGTGAGTTTTTAAAGGATAACATATCTTTCAAACCTGCTGGTAGGTTTTAGAGGTTCAACCAGGACATAAAGGACGAAGAAATCTATTCATGTACTTTAGTTGTTACTGCTTTTGTTTTTAAAGCTGCACAAATCAATATCTGTGACTGATTATGTGTGAAGCTAAAGGAGTTGCCTGTCGTCACAAACCCACAGAGACTCATCACCAAACTGTGCAGCTCCCTGCTGCTCTGTGGAGCGTTAAGGTGTCATCCAGGTCACTGTTTTGGTTTTGTGGCCAACAACTCTGCTCTTATCGGCCTCGTCCGCAGGTGCAGAAAGAAGCTGTGTGCATCATTTTTTGGCCTCCCGTGACAGTTAGTTTAGAGATACACACAGGAAACCGCCAAAAAAACTGTGCATGTAGCAGTTGTTTGTCACATTTCCCAACCAACACGGTACACCAGCAGCAAAGAAAGCAGCCAGTTTAAGTGAAAAAGCTCAACTAAGGTCACTACATAGATGTAAACAGATAAAGCTGGAGAACACAGCGGAGCAATCAGCAGCTAAAGGGGCCAGCATTTTTATCAGGACTTTGTGGAGACAGAAAAAAGAGTGAACGTTGGATTTACACTGAGTAATCGATTAGGCAAATGTTTGTTAACATGTTCATGATAATAAATTAAAATGAAAGACGGATATAGTGACTATCACTTGTTGGTTTGTGGACCACCTCTCTGAAAGTTTGGCATTTTGTGGTCTTTTAAAACCAGGCGTAACTATCAGGTGGTGGATCTGACTGAGAACCTGAGGATGCTATTATGTCAAGAATGATCAAGAAATAGTTGATTGAAAACTAATCACCAAACAACTGATTGCTGAAATTTCAGTCGTGATATATTTTGCTTGTATTTTTAATTTTTCTTCATCCATCCATCCATTATCTATACATCGCTTAATCCTCACTAGGGTCGCGGGGGGCTGGAGTCTATCCCAGCTGACTCAGGGTGAAGGCAGGGGACACCCTATCACAGGGCTACACTTAGAGACAGACAACCAAGCACACTCACATTCACACCTACGGACAATTTACAATCACCAATTAACCTCAACATGTTTTTGGACTGTGTGGGAGGAAGTCTGAGAGAACCCGGAGAGAACCCACACTGCACGGAGAGTATCCATTTCAAAATGTACTTAATGTAAATCTTTTTTTTATAATTATGAAAACAGTTATTGACATGGGAATACTAAAATAAGAAATATTGTGTTTTCCACCTTTGAACTGAGTAAATCCAATTTACTTTTTAGTGAATTCACAGCAACACAGTAGCGATCTGTCAATCACAATACAGCCACGCCCTAAAAACTACAACGATTTATCGTCTATTTTCCTCTAAATGGCTCCATCATTTACCAAATAAACACCTCGCTGTATTCAAACAGACTTGATGGAAACCATGAACTCATCAGCAAAACATTCGCTGTGGTGATAGATCAGGTGAGAAGTTGAGTCCGTTTCTCATAGACTTTTATTCAATAAGACTGCTTTGTGCAACCAGAGGAGTCGCCCCCTGCTGGCCGTGAGAAAGAATGCTGGTTTAAGGTGCTTTTGGCTTCAATTTTCAAAACCAGGAGGCCACATTTATCTTTTATATACAGGCTGTGGGTTACAGCTTGCTGCACCGCTGCCTCCTGGGGAACTGAGCTTCATTTTATGCAAATATTCCACCACATTAGTGTGATGCTGTACGTCCTTCTCACAGTCAGTAATGCAACATATACAGTCTCCTGCTTATGTATACAAAACCCTCATGAAAAACTGTATATACGATATCAACTTGTTGCATCTGGACTCAGTATTATGTGTTTGCACCTTTAGAGCTCTTGTTTTTGCAGCAGCGCCACCTACTGAATTGGATGATCACTAAAGCGTGTGTCTTATGGTTTTAAAGGCGTAGTCCACACAAAATAAACCCCTTCTGCCCAAGTACTTACATTTTTAAAGATATATTCCATCCAAATACAACTTTAACTTACAAGTTATGGTTTGAAGACGTTTATTCCATCCAAAATATGACTTTCTGTCCAAGCACTAAATGGTTTTAAAGGCTTATTCCACCCAAACAATGTTTTCTCACTAACTGGTTCTAGTTTTAAAGGGTTATTTCACCCAAAACACTACTTTCACTCCAAGTACTATGGTTTTAAAGGTTTATTCCACCCAAAAAATATACTCTCTGTCCTAATACTATGGTTTTAAAGGTTTATTCCCCCCCCCCGCCGGAAAAAAAACAAAACACTTTTTGTCCTAATACTATTGTTTTAAAGGTTTATTCCACCCAAAATACTGCTTTCCGTCCTACTACTATGGTTTTACGTGTTTATTTCACCCAAACAATACTTTCTCAATAACTGGTTATGGTTTTAAAGGGTCATTTCACCCAAAACACTACTTTCTGTCAAAGTACTATGGTTTTAAAGGTTTATTTCACCCAAAAAAAATACTTTCTCACTAACTGGTTGTGGTTTTAAAGGCTTATTTCACCCAAAACACTACTTCCTGTTTAAGTATTTGTGGCTTTAAAAGTTGATTCCACCCAAATAGTACTTTCCATCAAAGGACTTGTGACTTTAAAGGTTTAATATAAGGTCTAAAGACTTTCTTAGTTTATTATTTACACTTTTGCAAGCTGACTTTGTGGTTCAGCTCAAAGCATGAGAACTGTTCAGTACTGACAATGAGACTGTCGTCCACCTTGGCCAGATATGAGGCCCTTGCTTCAATACTCTAATTAAGATGGTGCTGCTGTGGTGGGCTCTAGAAGTACAGCCTCCTCAGCTGCAGACATATGCTCCTCCCTGGACTGGATGCAATGTTAAAACACTGCTGGTGGGTATTTACATTGTGGCATTTGAGACTTTTTTTTTTTGGTTAAAGTAATGGCAAACACAGCATCCTAATGCCGGTATTATAGTTATCAGGTGGATTGTGCTGTCCTCGGTGCTGTGTGCAGTAACAGCAGGAGGAGCTGACTTGAACAGATCTGATTGTCTCCAGTGGACAGTAAACATGTCCGGGCTGTGAGGTATCAGCAGTCTGGGGCCACATCTTCCTTCCCTCCATCCCTCCATCTCTCCAGGGAGCATCAGTGGAGCAGGTGCTCGCCCTCCTCCTCCTCCTCCTCCCTCCTCCCATTCCCCTCCCCTCTCCTCTCACATCCCGCCTCCCTCCCTCCCTCCCTCCTCTCTCTTCCTCTCTCTCTCTCTCTGAGGACAGTTAATGAGTTGTCCTTCTCCTTCTTCCCACATCTCCACATCAGTGCGCGTCGTTCTGCTCAGATCAAACGGCGTATCGTTGCGCACAGAGCCGTCATTTATCTACACGAAGATGCGCAAAGATCGAGGATTTTCTTTTCTTTGGTGAGGCGGTAAGTTGTGTGCTTTCTGTTGTTGCTGTTTTTTTTCAGTACAGATGTCTTTGTTTGCTTTTGTTGTTTCCTGGAGTGAGTGATAACCTCTTTCTTTTTTTTTTTTTTGAAAGTTAACATCGCTTGGATTCTGTGGTGAATTTATCCAATGACCTTTTCGTCTTTTCTCTTATTCCTGCCACTTTTTTTTTTCTAAGCGACTCCATGTACTTTTTATTTTATGTTTTATGGCTGTGATAGTTTCGCTTTGATGCGTGTGGGCAGTTGTATCCTCAGTTTTTTCTTTTAATCTTTTTTTTTTTTTGTCAACCTCAGACGGATTGTTGGAAGTGAAACCGGAGCTATTTTTAGACGAATTGCAGTAGGCTATAATACTCAAAGTGGGCAGTGTGTGATTGAATCAGTCGGTAATATATAATCAGACAAACTGGTTCAGCTTGACGGGCAGTGTGAAGACAGCAGCAGCAGGCAGACAGCTTCTGGGTTTTTGTAAAATGAAGCGTCATGTGGGGCCAAGATAGTACTGCAAGGAAATGAGAAAAAGAAAAAAAAGCTTAAGCCTTATTTTTCTAAAAAGGATATATTTGACACCGTAGGATATATTCTCAAGTAGAAATCAATCCATTGGTCGTACTTTGAAGCCACTTTCCCGTAGTTACCTGTGTGCGTCTTTGCGCAGCTGCGGGCGGTTTGGCTCGGCGCGCAGCTCGTGGTTCCTCGTTGTGTGTGTTTCTTGTCAAACTTGTCAGTGATTAAACACCGCTCCTGTTTGCTCCTGGTAAACTTAAAGGACAGGACGGACAGAGCTGGAACACGACGTTGTGTGTGTGTGTGTGTGTGTGTGTGTGTCCTCATATGATGGTTTGTCTCGCAGCAGCACCCATGGGAGATAGAGGAGTCGCTCTTTAATCCGGGACCTTTAACAGCGACCGCATTGTTTGGCTGAGATAGATGCCGCCGGGCGCATTAGCAGCAGTCAAGCGGATCCCGTCGCTTTTGTGTGTGTACACAGCCCGCAGGTGGAGTTCAACGCAACACAACACACACACACACACGCACGCACACACACACACACACACACACACAGAGGCTCCATGCACCATGTGCTGCTCCTGACCTGCCGTAGACCAGCTGCTCAGCAGGGGTTACTGAGTAAACCTCCAATTTCTTTAATTACCTCCTTCTCGTATGGATCCTGTAAACTCAGGCTCCACTGCTCAAACACTCCTCACAGCTTCAGATCCACACATCTGTAATTCTAACGTTTATTCACATTTATTGCTTGCTTAAAATCATTCACTATGATTTTCCTCTAGTGGTAGTCAAACATATTCTTTATCTCGGGTAGTTTCGGTGGCATTACAGCTGATGAAGCACTTATTCATTGACAACTACGGTATTTGGATGATCAGATGGTATTTATTTCAGCTGGATGTGCAGCCGTCCCTTATTGTCGTTGTAGATTTTATGCATTTGGACCTAGAGCCTAATTCGCACTACGAAAGACTGGGATCAAAGTACGTTTGATATGAATGAACCTAACAAATCATCAGGACTGGACAAGTTGCATAAAGGTCAGTTCAAGTTCATGCAATCAGGCTAATTTGTTACAGAGTCAAGTAGTTGAGATTTTCTGTGCATGAGCTGTTTTTATATACATTTTTCTTGTAAAGTTGTGTTTTGGACTGATCCGTGGTAACTAAGTCAGATAATGTGGTCGCTCACCAGAGAGTCCGTGGAAAACCTGGGGTTTCCCATCAGGTCAGTGTTACAGGAAGCCTGGCTGTTACTGTGCCCTGGACCTGGTTAGTGGCTGAGCTTTGTTGACGTTGCTTAATGGAGCTGAAATAATCTGGAAGTAAATCAGACTAACTAAAATGAGAACGTTTTTTTTTTGGGTTCCTGGTTTTGGGCTAGTCATAGTCACCAGCTGTTGATTGCAGGTATAAGCCTGCCGTTGGTGATGCATTTCACATTCTTTCTTCCTGCTATCGTGTTACCATTTTCAAAATCCCATTTGCTATGTAAAACAACAACATCAACCTCCAGGCAGCAACCTACATGCTGAAACTTTCAAATGTGCCGAAAGTTTGGATCGTGCAATAAGGCCGTCCTGCTCATTTATGTTGGTAAATGATTGTTTATAATGGCAGTATCTCTGGATGCTCATGTCACACCACAACAAATTCAGCCCATCACTATTTTGAGAGAACACCACCTACTTCCTGTTCTTAGCCCCGCCCAAGACAACTGTGATTGGTTTACAAAACACAAACACAGCAGAGTTTTTCCCCCTATAGCAGAATGACAATGAGCTGCAGTCAGACCGTTCTACACAGGACTGTGTCAGCGCTAGAGAATTGTCTGGCTGTCCACACTGGTGGATTTACTGTCACCTTGAGTATTATGATAATTATTTTTCATTATTTCCAGGTCATTAATCAAGAAAATAGTTCCCTCTTGATCCTAGAAACAGCTTTGAGTACATAATCTAACCAAAGGATTATCTATATGCTATAGGGGTTGAACGCCTATCAGCATGACCGGTTATCAGATCCAATATTCAGCTTTTTTCTGATTGCCGGTATCATTTTCCTGATCATTTCCAGATAAATTGGTGCACTTTAGCTCTGATGTAGCCGCCTCTCTCTTTATCTGTAGCTTCAACTCTGATTATCACGAGCAATGTCCCGACAACAGTACTGTCATGGTTACACACCATGGTTACTAGTCTAAAAACACTGAAGAGTAACATCCATCCATCCATTATCTATACACCGCTTAATCCTCACTAGGGTCACGGGGAGGCTGGAGTCTATCCCAGCTGACTTAGGGTGAAGGCAGGGGACACCCTGGACAGGTCACCAGTCTATCACAGGGCTACACTTAGAGACAGACAACCAAGCACACTCACATTCACACCTACGGACAATTTAGAATCACCAATTAACCTCAACATGTTTTTGGACTGTGTGGGAGGAAGCTGGAGAACCCGGAGAGAACCCACGCTGCACAGGGAGAACATGCAAACTCCATGCAGAAAGAGCCTGGGTGTCCTCACCAGGACAGGAACCGGCAACCCTCTAGCTGTGAGGCGACAGTGCTAACCACCGAGCCACCTTGCAGCCCATAAGTAAAACATAAACAAGCAAATACATTTCAATAAGGTTTTGCAGTAAAATTTGTGTTTTTCCAATTTGTGACACCAAGATTTGAATTCTTATCACAAATGTAAATTAGTTCCACATCATGGTTATCTATCTCCTTGATGCCTAATAATCAGCATCAGTGCTGAATTTGAATAACCGTATCAGTCAGCCCTAATCTAGCATTGTTGTGTAGTTTACGCAACAGTCAAATCCAGGTGTACAAGCTGATACCGAGAAGGTGAAGGTTGTAAATCAACTGGAAAAGCTGCTTTGCTTTTGCCTAATCCATACAGTGATAATATAAGAGGAAATAATCCATAAAACCCACTTAGCTTGATTTTCTCAGCGACCTGGCCGACAGTATCGGCTCTGCTCTGATTAGCTGACCCAGACCGCACCTCGAGTGTTGGTCTTTTCAGCGCTGACACGATTGTTTACTACAGCGATAGTTGTTTGGCAGGTCTTCTTACACAACACACACCTCAATTACACGCTGCACTTTATACTTCCCCAACACCTGCCTGACAGGGAAGTTTGTGCGCATCTGTTCGTCTGTGTGCCTTCATACACCTTTGTGCAATAAATGTGTGTCTGTGTGTGTCCTCCCCCGCCCCCCCCTCTCCACCCTCTCCTCATGTTTGCTCAGATGGTCGAGGTCTAGCCACCGCGGTGTCGGCACCTGGTGAGCAGAGCCGGCCTCGGGCCAGAGGAGGAGTAACTGTGGCTGTCAACTGTCTGCCTCTGTATACACCTCCACCTCCAGTGCCGAACACACACACACACACCGAATAAAAAACCTGCGGGCGGGAGTCAGACGCAGCCAGGCGCCACAACAAACTGAGACAGCGTAAGATTGGTTTGCTCTGGATTGTTTTATCTTTTTGCATCATCTCTGTATCAGAGAGGTGAGACTGAGCCACATGCTGCAGAGGAGATCGATGGCACGGAGGGGGAAAAACAAAAAAAAATGCATCCGACGTGATGGGAGAGGCTGTTGAGTGAGTGGTAGGAGACCAAAAAAAAGAGATAGTGAGGAGGAAATGACAAGGCAAAGAAAATGATAACACGGACAGATAGAGGGAAAAAGTGTGAGGCGTCCCAGAACAGCTGCTATTTATATCTTCTTTCTGTATCTGAAAGACAGTGACAAGATGCTCGTAGACAAGTACACAGATTAGAGAAATGGAGAAGGGGTCAGTGGAAGAGGAGCAGAGCCCTGCAGCCGGGAGGAGGTGGAAGGGAAAGGCCTAAAGTTCAAAAAGGGAAGAGAGAAGAGGAGCTTCTCCGATGTAGCCCTGTTTGCTGACGGACCACATTTCAGCTCTGAGCCGTGGCGGTGATAATTTATAGACCTTTCACTAACATCTTGACTCTGTTATGATTGCACAGTAAACATGGCTGTGCTCTGGCGGACTCACTGTAAAACATAAAACAGAGTAATGACTGCTACGCTTCCCATATATTCTCCATTGTTTCTTATCGTGCCGTGTGCTCCGGCGTCTTTTTTGGATGTGCTCCCTGTTTATTTTTTTTTATTCTTTGCTGGAGGTGTTGGTTATTACAGTATGTGGTTTTTCTGCTCCATTTATCCCAGGACCATAAATGCGTCCTGGCTGCTCGGTCCCTAGGGGTCACATGCATACGTTTTGTGACGCACAATGCCCGAGTCCTGAGTCAGCTGACGGTGTATGTGCTTTTTCTTTTTTGCATGTATTTGCACAGACAGCGCGCATATGTGCGTGTTGATGTCATTGTTCTGTCGTTATTTTTTTGCCAATGTTAATTCGTGTGCAAGTTCCCGTGAGTGTGTGTGTGTGTGCGAGACGCCGGGGTGAGGGGAGTGTGTTCGTT